AATGCGGTGCTTTAACCTGCTGCGCCACCAGGGAGAGCCCCATTCTTTCTATTTTAAAGATGTATTTATGCATACAGAACTGGGGGACAGGCCTCATACGGAGGTTCCGGGGTGGTAAGAGGACTCCCCAGAGACAGTATAGGGAGCAGAACAGACAGACTGAAACACACTGCTGAGGGGGGTAGCCCGGAGACGGGTCTGCTGTGCCCTGTGGGTCACTCCCTGGCTGGGGGTCAAACTCGTGGCGCAGTGGCTGCGCCTTAACCTGTGGTGCCACCACAGGCCCCCGGGGCCTGGGATTCGATGGCACTGATTGCACTCCAGCACCAGCTCTCCATCACGGAAACTGCCCGAGGGAGGAAAGAATGGCGTTGATGTGAGCGATTCCCTCATCCCATGTCAGCGTCAGGCGAAGCTGAAGCCCCCACTAGGGCGGAAGGCCACTGGCCAGTGTCAGCATTTAGAAGCAAAACAATCAGCCTAGGTGAGAGGGGGAGGGGTCAGCCACTGTGTTGGTGACAGCAGCACCGGCAGCCAGCGCACTTGAAGGTTACTGCAGCGTGACTAGGAAGTTGCCGCGGGATCAAGGCCCAATCACGGCTGGGTCAGGTCTCGGCACTCAGGCGGTCGCTGGGCCTGAGCTGGATCCCTGCTCTGCGCCCCACCCTGTCTCTGTTGAGTCTTCTCACCCCTCACACCCCTGCACCTCTGGCCCGAGTACCCTGGCTCTATGCAAAACTGAAATCTGTAAAAGGATTTGAGACGTGACAGGATGAGTGGGCGTGGCAGGCGGCCGGTGGGTAGAGACTGACCCCTGGCGCCCCGGGGAGGCCCTGTCTCGGCCCTCCAGTCAAGGAAGCAACAAGCCACAAGCCGCGGAATGCAGCTGGGGGAGCACCCAGAGAAAAGCCAGCGGGTGTGGCGACTTCCGTCGCGAACCAAGACAAAAATGAGCGTGTCGCGTCAAGTCCAAGAGGTCGGCAGGAGAAGTGAAGTAGAAAAGGGACGGCATCAGGGTAAAGGAGACAAATTAGAAATAGGTGTACGTGCTACTAGTGAAGGAAGGAGGAACGGGGACAATAGAAAACGCAGAAATACAACGCGGGGAGCCAACCAGGAGCACGTGACGGCGATTGAAAGCCACGAGCAGCGACTGCCCGTTGGCAGCGACACTGAAATGCCGCACCCCGGGAGGGGAAGAGCCGCACGCCCGGGGCCAGACGGCGGTTAGACATGCGAGGCCGGGGCCGTCCTCGGTCACTGCAAACTCTGAAAGAACTAAGTGAAAGCCGGGGGTGCAGGACGCCACGCGCGTCTCGCCGGGCAGCCGTGGGCGGGGTGCCACCCCGCGGCCTGTGTCTGCTGTCGCGGGTCACGACGCCCAGGCTTGGGCCTGTTCCCGCTCCCGAGGAACGCCTTTGCCTCCCTCCCCACCAGGCGTCTTGTTCAGAGGGGAGGCCCTGCGTGCTCCCACGCGATGCAGCCCAGCACTGTTGCTGTGGGCTGGAGGCCACCGTCCATGCGGCATCCCGACTAGTGCCAGGGAGGCCTGCGGCCTGGGCCACGCCCTGAGGGCCCCTGGGCCTCTGAGCCCTGCAGCGCCTGTGGTCAGACAGTTTCCGCTGCTCCCGTGAGGGCCTGGGAGGGGAGTTCTGCCCCAGCCTGCTCTGGGGCCGCAGAGGAGTGGTCAGGAGGGGACAGCGCATGGCCCAGGTGGTGCTGGGAGCAGAGTCCCAGAGCGGAGCTAGAGGACAGAAGGTCCCAGAAGGACGTCTCCAAGGAAACCGGGGTTACTGATGGGTGCGAGAAGACATTTAGACCGGAGTTTCAGGGTGAATTAGTGGCTAATGCCTAGAAAACACGACATCTGAGAAAGGAGTTACAAACCCCACGTTCATCAGAATAAAGGTCTCAGTGACGGGGACCCGGAGCTGGTGGCTTGCAGAGTGCGGCTCCCCCCGGGACACGGCCCTCGCACTCCACCAGGCGCTTCCAGCCGTCGCGAGTTTGGGCTTCGTCTGCACAGGTAGGAGCGGGGAGTCCCGGCACCGGCCTTTACGTGTTCTGGGGAGCTTCCGGCCCAAGGCCCCTTCTGGGACGCCGAGCCCCGTGTGGGAGGCACCTGGGCTCAGCTGCCGGGGCCGGGTTGCCGGGCCTGGCCGGTCATGGGTGAGAGGCTGGTCACAGCAGAGCGCGGGCCCTGCCCGCGACGGCTCTGCGCCCGGTCCCGGGACGCGCCACAGCACGTCGCACCATGAGAGGCGTGTGCAGTCGTGTTCGAGGGGTGGACTGGGGAGCTGGAAGAGGCGGACATTGTGGCAGTGACAGAGACTGTGACCGCCGACAGAAACGGGGCGGCGCAGAGCTACCCGTCGGGTGGGTGCGGACGGCGCCGAGGGGCGAGGGGGACGGTGCACACTGACCCGCGCCCCTCCAGGGCCTCGCCGGCACCGTGGGGGCGGGGTGCACGCTGGGGAGACGCGCTGAACACCCCCGGCAGGACAGCTGCCGCTGCTTGGAGGGCGTGGGGGCCCGGGCGGAGGGGGCTGGTGCCTGCGGCTCTTTACCACTGAGCAGTGCAGGTGGCAGCGTGGCAGCGGGGATGAAAGGCTCGCTGGGAGGTGACAAGGCAGGGAGCCCCGGGGTCCCCGTGAGGTCGGGCGGCCGTCCTGCTGGGCACAAGGAGAAGAAGCTGGGGAGGGCTAGTGGGGACGGAGACCGAGCCGCCCCAGTCTGCATCCATGGGGCAGTCTCCCGGGTGGGGACTGTTTGGGCCCCAGACTAATGGGGCGGGTGAGAAGGTGGCCTGGTCTCAGGGCAGGGCCTATGGGGAGGGCGCCGCGACCGGTGTGTCTCCCTGATGCCCACCACCCGGGACCACTGTCACTGCCCGTGTGATGAGTGGACACCTGGGGTCAGTGCTCAGGGCACACGGGGAGCTGGGCCGAGGCCCTGATGCAGGCCTGGGTGTCGGCTGGGCGCAGAGCAGTGCTGAGGGTGAGGCCAGAGCCTGGCTGAAGACAGCCTGGGTGGCGCGAGGGGCGCGGAGGCAGATGTGTGTGTCTGGGGTGTCTGCGCGCTTGCACTGCCCTCTGGCCCCAGCGTAAGCACGGGAGTGGTGACCATGCAGGGCTGGGGAGGGCACCCCACTGTGGGCCACCTGGGCAGATAAGACTCCCGGGAGGCGGGAGCAGCCGGCCCACACAGCGGGCATGAGATCAAGGCCAAGGCCTGCTGCTGTGCGTTGGGTATGGAATGACCTTGCAGGGGAGGGGGAGGAAGGTGTGGGTGGGAGGACCCCAGAAGCACCTGGGGTGGGGCCCTGTAGGTGGGGCAGGATGGCAGGAAGACAGGAGTGGCTCTCTCCAGAAAAGCAGATGGGAGACAGTTTGAGGCCAGGAGAGCTGCGAGGTGGTGATGCCCGCCCGGAGGGCTCTGTGCCAGCTGGCGGGGTTTTGACGGGGCTTGTGGGACGTACAGCCGTGGGCCTGGCCCTTCTGAGCCGCCCCCTTGCTGCTCTGCCCCTCTGCCTGCCTGCAGCCCCCTCGCCGTGGGCTGGATCCTAGCCCTCGGGCCCCGCTGTGGCCGGTCCAGTCTGTTTCCGGCCCATGGGCATCCAAGCAGGTGTTGCCACTGGGCACCCCGCCATCTTGGCCTCAGCAAGAATGGAGACCCGCCCTCCTACACACCCAGGTGCCTTAAAGTCCAAGATTCTTCTCACCCTCCCTTACAAACCCAGACTTGGAGATTAGGGGTGGGGAACAGGAAATTTCTTTTGTTTGTCCATCAAGAGCCAGCAGCAGGAAGTGCTGCAGGGCGGACCTGAAGCCCCTCATCAGGCTGAAGGCGCTTATGTTCATCTTTCCAAGCGTGAGATCCCTGGACCCCGGGGGCGGGCAGCAGATGCCGTCATCACCCCGAAAGTCTGATACCCACTCAGCAGCCCCTCCACCCCGCGCCCGGCACTGGTCTGCCACCGTCTCTGCCGTTGGCCTGTCCTGGTCACCCCCCCGCACACTGGTGGCCTCTGCGTCCGGGCTCTTTCATGAGTAACATGCTTTTTTTTTAGATTTTTTATTTATGCACACAAAAGCTGGGACACAGGCCAGAGGTGTGGGGGTGAGAGGACTCCCAGAGACAGAGCGGGGAGCAGAGCAGGAAGATCCATGAAACCACTGCTGAGGGGGCAGCGGGGAGACGGGCCTGCTGCGCCCGGGGTCCCTCCCTGGCGGGCATCGACTGTGCCACTGACTGTGGCACCTCACAGCGCTGCACTTTAACACGCTGCGTCACCAGGGAGGCCAAACCACACATTTTTCACTCAGCGTTTCCTGCTGCTCTTGGGCCCCTTCCAGGGCCTCCTGCGGGCCTGTTCTGGGCGGCAGGACCCCGGTGGCTGGCACGGAGCAGCCCAGGGAGGCGAGGCGGGAAGGTCTGGACCCGCCTGGCCTGCCCCCTTCCCCTGCCCCAGCCTGCCCGGGGACCCCTGCACGGGCTGCCCCTGCCTCTCCCAGCCTCCTAGGCCGGTGTGGGATTCCTGCCTGGGGCCCCTACACCCTGCACCCCAGAATGACCTCCCTTCAAGACGCAACTCGGGGCCTCTCACGGGTCTTTCTGTTCATCTTCACTGCAGGCTGCCCGCCCCCTGGGCACAGGGAGGGTCCTCTGCAGACCCCGATCCTCCCGGAAGCGTCCAGCGAGGGGCGGCGGCGGTGGGCAGGCGTTTGCGAATAGCAGGTCCGCGTGGAGAGACAGGTGAGGAGGGCAGGGAGCTGGTCGGGTCCAGCCCACCAGAGAGGTGACCCTGGGCCCAGGACCTTGCTGGGAGAGCTGACGTCCCACAGGGCAGGAGCGTGGCACACCTGGCTGCTCCCCTCCCCAGCCCCACGGGGGCCAATCAGAACTGCGGGCTCTGCCAACCGGGAACGGGGCGGGCTCTGCCCTCCGGTCTGCTCAGCACTAGGCTGGGCGCCCCAGGCTTCCGTTTGGCTGCTCTCCCGGCCCGGCCCCAGCTCTGGTCTGCAGGTCCTCGGGTATCATGGGGCCCGCAGGTGAGTGGGCAGGGACGAGGCTCCGGGACGGGGCTGTGGGGGCTCACAGACTCGCCAGAACCCCAGTCCCCAGCCCTGGTGGGCAGGCGGGCGGGAGCTGGTCTGTGGGGGGCAGAGGCTTTAGGTGCGGTGCGGGCAGTGTGCCACAGGGCACAGACAGGTGAGCTGGGCCGCGGCCCTGAGGCCGGCCCTCGGGGCAGTCCTGACCTGACGTCCCCCCAGGTGTCGAGCCTCCGCTCCTCCCCGGGCCAGCACGGAGCTCTGGTCACCCGGGTCTCTGTTGGGCAGTCGACCTGGTGTGTGTGGGGCAAGGAGGTGCTGCTGGGACAGGAGGGCAGGGAGGGGAGGAGGAAATAGGTCCAAGCGGGCCACGGGCCTGCCCGCTGACGCTGCCCCTCCCCTCCCTGAGGTGGTCCCCGCACAGCGCCTGGGAGTGGCTGTGGAGGCCCCTCCACCTCCGGAGCAGCCCCCGGAGGCTGCAGGTGGCGCGACAGGCTCTGAGGGCCGTGGGCCCCCGCCAGGACTCGGGCAGCACTAACGGAGCAGTGTGGTCCGCACCCCAGGCAAGGCAGGGTCCCTCCCACCCCACTTTTTGGCCCCTCCTGAGCGCACTCCAGGCAGCAGGCCCGGGACTGGTCATCACCCTCGTCTCGGCCCCTTGCCAGCCCTGCGTGTGCATCTCGCACCAGGTGTCTGGTGGACGGAGGCTCCAAGGACCCTGCGGTGGCTCCCCCAGGACCGAGGCCCTGGGCTCTGGCTCCTGACCCTGGGGGACAGGAGGGTCCTGGGTCTCTGGGCCCTGGGGCAGGAGGTCGTGGCCCTGGGAGGAAGCTGGGCCCGGGAGGCCCCGCAGCCCCGCTGCCCGCTCCTGAGCCAGAGTCCTGGGGGGCGTGAGGTCGGCTCTGCTGCCCCTCAGGACCCACAGTCCTCTTGCCACCTGCACGGGGAGCCGCCAGCTGCCCGGAGAGCCCAGGACGTCCTGGGAGGGAAGGGCGGAGTTTGCGACTTGGGGGATCAGTCCACGTGCTTCTAATTTTTTTTTAGAAAATCTATTCATACACATAAGAACTGGGGTGCAGGCCAGAGGTGCAGGCAGAGAGGACCCCCAGAGACAGCGGGAGGCAGACCGGCGGATCCAGTGAGATGCACCGCTCTGGGGGCAGCGGGCACAGGAGGGGTCTGCTGTGCCTGGTCGCCACCCCCGCTGGGGCCTGGCCTTGTCTGCAGCAGCTGCCAGGGCTTCCTAGCTGTGCCCCCAGCCCCCAGAATTCCAGGGCCTCCCCACATTCTTGCCTGGAGGGCCCTGGAGGCTGGACAGGGCTCCCAAGGAAGTGCCCCAGGCAAGCTGCAGGGCGCTGGCCTGTGCCGGAGGCGAGGCGGCTGAAGCAGAGAGGCCAGGTGTGGTGGGTGCTGGGAAGCGCCGCGCCCCCAGAATTCCAGGGCCCACGCGGCCCAAGAAACAGCGAGCAGTGTCTTGGGAGGTGCTGGGAGGGAACAGAACCCCGAATGTGCGCCCAGACTTGGGGGCTTGGGGCAGGGGTTAGAGCGCAGCACTGTGGAGCTGTCCACAGCCGCTGCAGCATGAGCTCCATCCCCGGCCAGGAGCGACCTGACCCCAGCGCAGGCAGCAGACCACTCCTGTCTCCCTGCTGCCCCAGCAGTGGACTTGGTCAGTCTGCCGGTTCTAGTCCCCACTCTGTCTCTGGTGAACCCCACACCTCTGGCCTGTACCCCGTTCTGTGTGCATAAATAAATAAATTACACTTTACAAAAGACTTGGGGCTCCTGTTCCCCGGGAGGTGGTGGCGGTCTGCCCCAAGGGGAAGGGTGGGGCACCTCAGCTTGGAGTCCTGCCGGAAGAAGCTGTGACAGCCTTTGTGAAGGTCAGAGGCCCAGTAAGGCGGCCCCAGACGGCTCAGGCCTGTCGGGACTCAGCTCGCAGTCCTGGGCCGGCCGGGCAGGAGGCGCGCAGGGGGCAGCTGGGCCCGGCCACCTGGCCACCGCTCGGGAGCTGGGGCGACCCAGGCCGTCCCCGCTGCCTGGTGCTGAGTCAGCCGCCTCTCCTGCCTCTGTGCCTGCCCCGAAAGGCCCCCCCCCGGGCTGGCCTAGTGCCCAGCAGGTATCCCAGGGACGTCGCTCAGGCAGTCAGACGCGGGGTCTGGGCCTCGCCGTAGCTTCCTTAACTAGCGGCCAAGGAGTGAAGTCCTCACGGTGTTTGATCTAGCCGGAGCCAGCAGGGGCAGGGAGCTGCAGCAGAGGCAATTAGCGCAGCCAGTGGCCTCGCTGTGGGAACCAGGATCCTGCCAGGTGCGGCCTGCGGGGCCCCAAAGGCGCTGACCGGCCCGCGGGGTCCCATCTGGCAGGAAAGCCCTCTGGGTCCCCTTCGTGCCGGGGCGCCACCCACGTTCCCCTGGGGAGGGCGGTGACCCCCAACCCTGGACTCTGCTCTTCCCAGGCGCTTCCAGGCTGGGCCCTTCCCTGGCTCCTCCCGACTGCGCGCTGTTTCCGAAGCAGCCTAGGGGGGTGTGTGGTGGGTGTGGGTGTTGTGCCCACGTGTGCGGCTCGCGGGCCGCCCCCTTAGCCTTCCCTGCAGTTTGTGGGCTGATGGTGCCACGCGGAGAGCGAGATGGAGACTGTAGACACAGGCCCCAGGTCCCACCAAAGCGGCACTCTGGTGCCCAGCCACAGACTGGGCAGCTGGTGGACAGGCCTGGCAGCCAGCACAACCCTCAGTGTGGCCAGGGCTGTGGACTTTGGGTCCCAGGTGGCCTACCTTGCCCGCTGGGCTGGGTGCCCAGGAACCCCCACAGCTGGCCAGAACATGGCTTCAGTCATACCCCCGGCTCAGGCCCCGGGGTGCCCTTGGGTCCCTCACAGGAACAGGACCTGTCCCGTGACCAGCTGACCTCGCTTTGGGGCGCCACACCGTGTTTCCTTCCTGTGTGGGCGGGTAGCTGCATTCCCGCTAGTCAGTCACCTGGGCTGGCTGGCCCGGACTTGGTGACCAGGCTCTGCCGACGAGGCTGTGAGCACGGCTGCGCTGCTCTCAGCTCTGTTGGTGCACCAAAGCGAAATGACTGGATTGTGCAATGTCGCTTTTAGAGCTGTATTTCTCTATGCACACAAAAACTGGGGCACAGGCCAGAGGTGGGGGTGAGAGGATTCCCCAGAGACAGCGTGGGGAGCAGAGCAGGCGGATCTGCTGAGACACTGCTGAGGGGTCTGCGGCCCTGGGGGCCGCTCCCTGGCCGGGGAGCGAGCTCATGCTGCAGTGGCGCGGAGCATCACAGTGTTGTGCCCTGCCCCGCTCACCCCCAGGGAGGCCCCAGTTTTGCGAATTTAAGGTACCTGCGTAAAGGCAGCGTCTTCCTCTTCAAACCAAGATTTGTAGTTTCCCTGGACGGGTCTGCTTTCCTGCCTGGCCGAGACACCACGCGGGGCGCCCGAGCCTCTGGCCCCCTTGAGCCCTGGCTCTCGCACTTGACCACTGGGCGCTTGGCCACTGGTGCACATGCTGCTCCGGCCCTTCCTGGAGATGCGTGCTGGGCCCTGGTGAGCTGTCCTGCAGCACCTCCAAGCTTGTCCGGTGCTGGGGACGCCTCACAGGCCTAGCTCCACCCGAGAAACAGTGTGGGCGGTGCGGCAGAAGGCCGGCGGTCCCCAGAATCGGGGGCGGGTCGGACCTGCGAGCCGCACATGCTGGGCGCGCTGTGCCTAGGCGAGCTCCCACGTGCCGCCCCGGCATCATGCGTGGGCGACAGTTGCTCCCACATCTCCAGCGGCGTGCAGGCGCGACGCTGCGGGGCAAGTCTTTGAAGGTGGAGAACATTCCAGCAGCGCAGACTGTTTCCGGTTGCTTTGGTGGCGTTTGTCGTAATAGCGCTGGGACTCGGCTGTCACCGCAGGTGCTTCTTGCTAGATGTGGCTTTGGTTTGGAATCACACATCTTTCTTGGAAAAGTTGCTATCGGGTAATTTGACCATCCTTGTACACGCTGGGAAAAAACTGTCCGAGGCTTTATCCCTCCATACCGGGTGGCGGGAAGAAAAGGGAGGCACCCAGCTGGTGGTATTCTTTTCCTATAAATTCATCAGTCTTAGAGAACTTGGTTTTGATCCTTTGAGCCCTTGAGGTTCTGACTTCTGCAGGGTGTCCGGACACGCCTGGAGTCCAGACTGTCCCCGCTCAGGTCTGCTGCCTGTCTCTGGGGAGTAGCAGAGTCCCTTTCGCTGGTGTCCTGGGCGCAGGTGTGTGCGGGGACGCCGGCTTCCGTGCACACTCGCTAATGAAAGGGAGTTTTGTTTTGAAAAGCAGATCCGCATTCTTCTTTCCAATCTAGGCGCATTTTACTTCCTTTTTCAAAAGGAACTTTAGAAGGTAAACTGGATATATAACAAACTTTGCATTTATTTAAAGTGAAGAATATTGCACCTTCGGTATGTGTACACCTGTGAAACCCAACGTACAATGTGAACACATACCTGTCACCCCCAAAGAGTCCTGTGCTCGTTCGCAGTCCCCCTTAGATGCCTACCTCATCCCAGACAGCACTTCTGCTTTTCTTTTCTTTTTTAAAGATTTATTTATGTGTGCATACAGAAACGGGGTTCAGCCAGAGGTGCAGGGGTGGCGAGAGGATTCACTAGAAACAGAGCGGGGAGCAGAACAGGCCGACTGACGAAGTCCACTGCTGAGGGGGGCAGGAGGGGGCTGCCGCGCCCTGTGGGTCGCCTCCGGGGCGGGCTCGAAACTTGCTGAGCTTTGCAGTCAGCGCTCCACCCCGCTGCGCCACCGGGGGCGGGGGGGGGGGGGGGGCACTGCAGCCTTCCAACCACAGGCTGGTCTGCATATTCTAGAGTAACTCTGGAACCACGCGGGAAGTGTAAGATTCACTTTGCTCTGGGTATTTTCATCCCATCTAGTTTATTTTAAACTACGGTGCTAAGCTTAGCTGATGTCGCTCGTGGACACGAGACTGACGGGAGAAGGCTCGGGTAGGGCCACACCCGTGCGCCTGGACGCCCTGTATGAAGCGGAGCCCGCCCTGGAGATGCCTGAAAGAGGAAGTTCAGACAGGCGGCGCAGCGCTGTCAGACTCACCACAGTGCCAGAAATGCAGTTGGCAGTCACGCTTGGTTTTGTTACAGGGCGGTTGAGGGGCACCCCAGAGCCCCCGAAATGCCCGATAAGTAGGTTTTGACATCTGCTATATAAAGGAAAGGTATATTCGAGAGCATAAGACCTTTTTTTAAAAAAAAAAATCATTTTTTTTTTTATGCACACAGAACTGGGGTGCAGGCCAGAGGTGCAGGGAGTGAAAGGATTCTCCAGAGACAGTGGGCAGCAGAGCAGACGGATCCACTGAAGCCCCCTGCTGAGGGGAGCAGCGGGGAAACAGGAGAGGTCTGCTGCGCCCTGGGGTCCCTCCCTGGGCGGGGATCTGACTGGAGCTGGTGCGGCCGTGGCTGCGGCCGGCTTTCAGTGCTGTGCTTAACCTGTTGCGCCACCAGGGAGGGCCTAGAGCCTAAGGCCTTTCACTGAAAGGAACGTTGGCAGCAAAGAAAAGACAAAGAATGAAGTTTCCAAATCTGGTGCCCGAAGTCACCACCCGCTTGCCTGGCCAGCCGGGCCGGCCGGGCCGGCCCCTGAGCCGCAGGTGAGGCCGCGCGCTGAGGCTCTGCTCCAGGAGCGGGGCCACCTGCCTTCTCTGGTGGCACAAGGGCAGGAGGGTCCCCCAGAGTGGGCAGGAGGCCGTCCCCTGCCAGGCTCCGACTTCGGCCTTGGCCAGGCGTCTCAGGCCCAAGTAACCCAGACTTTGTCTCTGCAGACTTCTGGGGGAAGAGCAGGAAGTCCTGGCTCTGCCTGGCCCTCATCTTTGCTGCGTCTCTGGTTTTCTACAGGTGAGGAGCAGCCCTGGGGCCTGGGCAAGTCATGATGTTATGAAAAAGCCAGTTTAGTTTTTATTTTTAACCCACAATGATCCAGGGGAAGGTGGGGCCGACTGCAAATAAGGAAAGGGGGTTCCAGACTGCACTTTGCTCTCTGATGCTTCGTGGCCCTTTGTAGGGATCAGACACTCCTCGAGGGTGAGTGTGACTGATGGGGGTTCCTCCAGCTTCCGCCACGTGGCCCCCCAGGAACACCAGTGACGGGGGCACCCCACTAGATCTCTTCCTTTAAATGAAAATCAGAAAGTTTAAAGATGATTCCGACGTTCAAAGAGAGGTTTAAGCGTCTCTTTACGGGCTCCCTGGCGGACTGGGGTTGACGTCCAGCTGTCACCGCCGCAGTGAGTGTGGACATGTGTCGAGCTTGTGGCCGAGGAGCTGAAACCTTTCAAGTTGACTCTAGCTTCTTAAGCAAATGCAATTTTCAACCGCTGCATTTGTTTTAAAGCATATACTGGGGGGCCTTGTTGGGGACCGGCCCCGATCACGGATTATTGGGGGGCAAAACAGGCAGCGTCCAAAGGAGGAAGCAGTGTCGGCAAGTGGAGATTCCTAAGGGGAGGAAGGGGAGTGGGCGCGAGAAAGACAGGGGAGGCGGAGTTGGGTACAAGTCTTCCTGCTCATCTTTTTGCAGGTCTTTATTTGTACTGTTTAGCAAGAGTTAGTTACAATAATGCATCAGTGAGTTAGTAAGAAATCAGCATAAAGTTCTCAAGGAGGAGGGGAGCAGTGCACCCTCTTCCTGCCACTTTGGGGCCTTCTAGACTGTCGTATTTGTGATCACTTTCATGTGTACGGATGTTCAGCTGTGACTGCAAAGGGTCAGGGACCTGGGAGAGGATGAGCCGTTAGCAAGGGATTTGGGGTCCCGGGGAAGGAATAAATTGTGCTGGCAGAGTCATCAGTGATAGTCTAAAGAAAAGCTAATGGCTGACTTAAGGCTAGCAGAGAGAAGCTAGTGTTTGTTTTAGGAAAGGTTAATGAAGACGAGCAGAGAGTAGTTAGTGATTGTTTAAGGAAAGAGTAAACTAAGAGCAAGTCACATGGTCATACATGAAGCGAAAGCTGTGTCGATAATGTTAGGACATTGCCATGAGTCCTTATGCCCTGGGAGTTGTCTAAGATTCACTTTTTGTTTCAGAAGACCAAGGGAGCTTTCCAGGAGTCTTGATGCTCGGGAATGCTCCGGGGATGCTCCGGGGTCTTCTCTCTCCAGGAGCTGGCCTTTTGTTTTCAGTCAAGGGAATTTCCTGCCCTGGAGCAGCTCAGCTTGTACTTTGCCCAGGCCAGGCAGCCAATTTAGAGCTAAGGCAACCCAGTTACAAACGGAGGTTGCCACAATATTTTTGATATTATGATTATCCAAAAAAAGGGAGTCATAACAT